ACCCAGTGGCAAGAAACCGAGTGAGATCGGAGCAAGCCACTCCGAAGGTGATGGAGCCAAGGAGAGGTAGAGTTTTCTCTGCCGAAGATGTGAGTAGAATGCTCGAGCTCGAGGTAGAGCTCAAGGATGAGACGAATATAGCAAAGGCTATGGCCTTGCTTATGCCGGAGAAAACCCTGAAACAAATAAGGGACAAGAGGAGAGAGACGTGCTATAAGAGGTGGAAAGAGCAGCGCCTCGAGAGTCAAGAACCCCTCAGCGAGGAGGACCGACAAGCGGATGGTGCACCGCTGGAGGTCGATGATGTTTTTGTAGATTCGGAGGAGACCGAGGATGTCTTCTTAGATGAGGAGGAGATACCGTGCAATATATATAGCTTTGACGAATCAACGTCAACTGCACACTGGAGGCAAACCTGCACTGAGGCGGTGCTTGAGGAGCTCAAGAGTAGTGAGCCCAAGGAATCGCTGGAGTTACAGCAACACATTATCCAGCTCCTGACGGCAAAAAGTGAAGGTCAGGCAATAACGCAGGAGGAGGTAGACGCAGCCTATGAGCTGGCGATCAGTTTGTTCCGTGCTCCGGAGTCGGGGAAAACAGGCGGTAATTCCCGAAGACATCGGAGTCGGAGGAAAGGATTTTCGGGAAGAAGTGAACGCAAAGCCCGAGCTTATGCTCGTACACAAGAGTTATATAGGAACAATCCCGCTATCCTCGCTAAAATGGTAAGAGAGGGTATGGATGTCCAGACCGCGGATACAGACGTTTCAGTAAGTCCAACAGTTGAGAGCGTCAAGAAGCTTTACGAAGAGCTATGGGGAAGCCCGGGTCGATGTGATATTGGCCGGGAAGAGCGAGAGGCCACGGTGCCGTATAATCCAGCAGAGATTCTGCATCCTATCTCCAAGGAGGAGATTTTGAAGCGTTTCAAAGCTACACGGCTGAGGGTGGCAGCCGGGCCTGACGGACTCCGCAAGGGAGATCTGATGAGGAACGAGGGAGGCTATATCCTCCACGCAATTTTTAATATAATCATGTTGGCATTGAAACAACCGAGCGCGTGGCGCTGCAATAGAACAACACTATTGCTTAAAGAGGGGAAGGACCCCTCAGTAGCGGCCAATTACAGGCCGATTACTATCTCCTCAATATTAAGCAGATCGTATTGGGGTATTATGGATCAGCGTCTAAGGAAAGTGGTTCACCTGAATGCACGGCAAAAAGGCTTTGTGCCGGAGATGGGATGTTATAATAACATCAACTTGCTGAACAAAGTTCTCGCACTAGCAAAGAAAGATAAAGGAATTGTAGCCACTCAGGTGGACATAGCCAAGGCGTTTGATAGCCTCCCGCACCCTGTTATCAGATACGCCTTACTCGGAAAAGGGCTGCCGGAGGAGGTGGTGGCATTGATAATGGACTCGTATAAAGGAGCCAAAACCACCATAAAATGTCGCCACGAAACGTTCGACATTGAATTGAGAAGAGGAGTCAAGCAAGGAGACCCTCTGTCTCCGCTTATTTTCAACGTCTGCATGGATTTGATTATAGACAGACTTGAAAGAATGGAAGGCTTCCAAATCAAGGACGGCCTGAGTATATCGTGCCTGGCCTTTGCCGACGATATAATACTCATTGCAAATACTAGAGAAGCGGCGAGTCGGCTTATGGATGAGCTCGCCGGCTTCCTTTCACGATGGGGAATGGCACTATCAATTGGGAAGTGCGTTGCCTTTGGTATTGTTACCACCAAGTCTAATTGGTATATGGTGGATCCAGAAATACGCAGCAATGGCGAGATAATCGCCTATTGCGGCCCTGCTCAGTCACTGCAATACCTAGGCATTCAGGTTACTCCGTGGGAAGGAGTAGTTACTAAGCACGCAATTGCGCGGCTAAGGGACACGCTCCCAAGAATTAAAAAGCTACCCCTGAAGCCACATCAAAAAGTTGAACTTTTGGCGCGGTATGTTTTACCGCACTTCTTGTATGCCTTCACTGCGGGCACAGTAAGTGCCACAGAACTAAATGAACTGGACCAAACACTAAGGACGGCGGTGAAAGACTATCTGCACCTTCCAATGTCTACGGCAGATGGTCTGCTATACGCGTCTAAGCGCGATGGCGGCATGGGTTTTCCCAAGCTTGGTATTGTTGTAACGTCCGCAATGTTAAAAGCTGGTTTTCGCTTTCTGAATAATAGCGATCCGGCGATCCAAGCCTTAGTAGTGGCGTCGGGGTTAGAGAACAAATTAAAGCGCTTGGCGCACGTGGCCAAACTGGGCTGGCCCTTAGAGTCGATCAAACAGATCCACGGTTATAAAAATAAGGCCAAAGCGAATGAATGGCGCAAATGGGCGGAATTACCGTCCCAAGGTAAAGGTGTGCCTGCCTATAAAGATGATAAGGTGGGTAATGAATGGCTGTACCGGCCCAACCTGTTGAAACCTTCCAGGTATATTACGGCTCTCAAGTTAAGAGCCAATGTCGCGGCAAACAAGGTGTCGCTGAACAGAGCCACTAAGAACAGCGGTGTCATGTGCCGCAAGTGCAAGGCTCAACCCGAGACACTGGGTCATATACTGGGGCAGTGCGTGTACACCAAGTCTGGTCGTATCAAACGTCACAATGATATTCGAGACTTCATAGAGCGCCACGTTTTGGGGCAACGTAGAATGACGATAACGAAAAAAGCTCGACTACAAGACCCTCATCTGAGGAATCTCCAACCAGACCTGATCATACAGCATCGGGAAAGGGTCTTTGTGGCTGATGTAACAATCTGCCATGAGGATGGCGATCTCTTAGAGAGAGGCAAGAGGGACAAGCTCGTCAAATATGCGTCCCTCATAGACCCGCTTAAAGCCCAATTAGGGGCGAAAGACTGTATGATCCTCCCGATAGTTATCGGGACAAGATGAGCAATGCCCAAAGACACTGTTACCTGTCTTTGTAAATTACAAATTAAAGACAGAGGCTCGCTGAGAACGCTAACATTCCAAGCACTCAGGAGCTCAGTGGAAATCTTCCATATGTTTATGGATTATAACGCGCCTATGCGCCTCAACAGCAGCGATGCTGCAGATTAAAAACTCTTGGCACTAGCTCACTGATGTAATTTTATACATAAACGACGGTCTGGGACCTGATCCACCCAATATCTTATTTATTTATTTATTCGGGAGCACTCTACACTCCCGATTTTAATCTATGCCGGCACTTTTGCCGTAGACATCAGTGATGCGAGTCGCTCAGATGGGCACTGAGCGGCGGCAGAGCCGTGTGACCGAACCGCCCCGGCACACGGGCGGACGCCTCCACGTGGCTCCCCGCGGTAACGGCAACACACCAAGCCAGCCAAGTTCCGTTTCCCCAAGTAGGGGACTCTGCTTAAATAATTTTTCCAGCCCGTACGCAGGAATCCCGCGGCAGATCAGTCAGATGGGTTTCCCTCCTGCGGGAGGACTTGCCAAGAGTGCTAGATAGGCCAGTTACTATAAGATATGTGATAATGAAGAACGAAAGTTATGCTGGATCTCGTATCCTTGTTATTGGGTAACCCGTTGCGCAGATGGGCGATCCAATAGTCAACCTGCAGGGTCGCTCGAGCCGGGACCCGTTGTTATCAGGAACCGCACTGCCCCGAAGCGGTAAGACGCGCCAAAAGGACGTGATGCAAATAACCAAATGCCTCGTCATCTAATTAGTGACGCGTATGAATGGATTAACGCGATTCCCACTGTCCCTATCTACTATCTAGCGAAACCACTGCCAAGGGAACGGGCTTGGAAAAATTAGCGGGGAAAGAAGACCCTGTTGAGCTTGACTCTAGTCTGGCACTGTAAGGAGACATGAGAGAACAATGAAAGAACAACAGAAGTTTAGAGGGAACACTTTGCGACGTCAACGTTTCCTTCACGATGCTCCCGAAGTTCAGCGCGTGACGTGCAAGATCGCTTACAAGAACGCTACGCTAAAGAAAAAAAAATAGTACGATGGACACGAGAGACAACGTTAACGCGTCGCAACAATACCTTAGCATAGTCGGTCTGTGTACCACGTTTCCTGTGGAAAAAAAGTCCCCGACACGACGACAGTACTTCAACGAAGCGTCTCGACGCTGATGGTCCACAGGGCGTTGCAGATTAGTGCCAGCGGTCGCAACGGCTCGCCCCTACTTTTTAGAAACGCAAACTCAAACAAGCACATACGAAAGATGCCGAAATACATATGCGACATCAAATATTTCGTGTTCCGGTTTGTTCAAGTATGTTAGTTTTCATTTTATAGGCGACGGAAAACAGTACGTCACGATATGACTTTTCAACGAATGTATATTTATTTCATATGACATATTACAAACACGCGTTCAGTTACGCAAACTTTCGTCAAAAAGCGCTCTACAAGCACTTCCGCGTCAAAAAACAAAACGTACCTCTTTCAATAACTTACTTGAAAAAATATATTTAGATGAACGAACGTTTTTACGTACGCACGCGTACGTCGAACGCAGTGTTCGGTATCTGTCGACGCTTTATATATATATATATATACCGTCCTGTCGGTACGCTCCGCGACGTTTCGCACACGTCTGTCCAGTAACTTCGTCTTACTTCGCGATTTCGACGCCGCATATTTCAAAGAAACGTAACGCGCCGTAAGACGCGACGACTTGAAAAAAATATATAAACACACATGTAAAGAAAACGTTTGCGAAAAACTTGCGACGTAAGATGTACGGCGTCGAGTACGAGAATACGACACGTGTGTTAAGGCTCTGAAACTGTAAAGAACGCGTAAACCAACAGAAAGACGCGACAGGTTCAAAGCGAACAAAAAAAACGGCACGGCGTTTGTACTATACTACGTCAGACGTGACGTTAGCGCGGGACGACACTTGAAAAAACGATACCGATGATCTCACGTAAACGTACAAACGTCGAAGGTCGACCGCGTTTTTTAACTTAAACTTCTTTTCAACAAAATGTATAACGGCCTCGTTAGTCGACGTCCATGTCCTCGGGGTAGTAGTGTCGCACTCTTCTGGAAACTTTGTTTATCAGATGTGCTACGTAAGTCTTGTACGTTACCGGCGCGATTGACGTACAGACGTATTTTTGTCTTAGTTCATCCTGAAAAACATAGAACGTATTAGAAACGCGTGTCGGATCGTACGTTCTACGATACATATAAAAAAAAGTAAAGTGTGCAAGTAGAAACCTGCACCGTGCTTCCTCCGACGTTTTAAGTGTGCAAGTAGAAACCTTTGCTCACAAAGCTTTCTCTATTTGTTTTGGCTTCCTCATAGAGAAAGCTTTGTGAGCAAAGGTTTCTAGGGACCTTTGCGTACGTCAAAAACTGAGTCTACGCAACCAACGCTTAACGACGTCGATATAAACGAGGGGTAGAAAAGACTGAAAACGATACAAAACATAGAACGAGGGCGCGCGCTCCAACGTTGCGGAACGTAAAACCGAAACAACGCGTTCTGCAAAACGTCAAACGTTTCGTAAAAAAAACCCCTTGCGTCGTAGCATGTTTCATTACGTTTCATATCGTCTTAAGTCTTTTCTACCTCTCGTTCATATCGACGTTGTCAGACGTTGCGTGCGTAGTTCTGGACGTCAAGAACATTCGATAACGTTGGCACCAACATACCGACACACCAACACACCGACACACCGACCGACATTTTTTAAAATAGCGCGTTTTTGACGTTTTAAAACATTTTGAACACCGTGGCAAAAGTAACTAAAAAAAAATGTTGTTTGCGAAAACAAAGCTTCCTCTATAAAGAAGCAAAAAAAATCAACATTTGACGATCACTGACGATAAAAGTAGCGTAACTACTCGGAAATGTAAAAGAGAAACATGTATAGAAAAATGTTTCGTATACGGTAAAACGGTCGACACTGTTACGCATACCTGAAAAACGTCTGCGGTCACCCTGAAAGTGAATAAAAACTTCTTGAACAGCATCTCGTCGAATACTTGCATATAAGCATCGTTTGCGTTTTCCTGCATTTCCCCTAATTCTTGCGCCGATCGGCCTATGATTTTCTCAGCCGTTTCACCAAAGGCAATTACCCAACGACTACCTGTTGCGTCTGATAGATTCATCTGAAATGTGTTACAACACGAACGCAAACAGATATCAAAAAATACTTTTACGCGAACGAAGTACGCGGCAAAAACACACGACATACATTTAACAGTAAGCGATACTTGAACGTTGACGAGTCCTTGTTACACTTGTCGCATCTAAATACTCCGGCAGATGTATCGCGTAACTGAAAGTAAAGTCAACGTTTACAGCACCGCGTATTTTCGTAACGAGCTTGAAACGCGCCGGACTCTTTCGTTTCAAACGTCTCCGCCGCGCGCCGACCCGTTACCTTCCTGCAACCAGTTACGGGGCATGCCTTGTAAATAGCAGTTTCCGTGCGAAACATGTCAACGATCGCCACAACTGCAACGGAATCTGAGAGCGTACATGTTTCCCCCAAGCGAGCTGCAGTCATCTCCTCGAAAGTGTACAACGACGCGTTGAAGTCATCACTTCCACCTGCTCTAGACTCGGCGTTAGCCGTTTCCAAATGGCCAACTGTAGTATACCACGTGCGCAATCTGAAATACGTCGTACATATATCGTCGACTGTATTTTTATCGACCGCGCGTATATTTTCAAACATATATTATCACAACAACATATTTTCAAAAAATGTTAGAACGGCCACGTTAACGAACACGAACGTCTATAAAAAGACATATTTAAGAACGTGCGTAACATTAAAACGTACCGAAAAAGCAAACGTAAACGAAGCGTCGTTCCCTTACTTACAACAAATATTTATATCGATGTACAAAGTCAGCGGTGCTTTACGTTAACGACAGTTTAACGATACCTGTGTGCTTCAGGAAGATCAGGATCCTTTACAAGTACGGAGGATGTCATAAGGGATAACGTTCTTTCACCATTATATTCACTGACACGCGCTCCTTTAACGGCAATAATCGGCGTCGCAGAACCATCAAAATCCTCGGTTTGCTGTACCCACAGTGTAGTCCACCTAACAGACAGATTTTTTTTTTCATCCACCGTAACAGCAAAATGTTAAACGCTGTCACGAAACTACTCAGCTGTGTGCCGCTGTCATCAACGATCGTAATATCTCTCTTCAAAAGCGCTTGGCCGGTACTTCGTTGCACAAGAGATTGTAGATCGTTGACATGTGTAACGACACCCAAGACATCTAAAAAAAAACCAACATCGTCAACTCCGACGTTTCAACCGACGTCCGGTATATCGTTACCAACGTTTCGTTTATATCATATTCTAAACGTTAACGGTGTTTGTTTGTCGCCGTGACAGTAAAACTTTACGGTAGAACGCGATACACGTACAACGGACCGGTAAGTGACCGTTACGTTTACAGCGAAACATCGAACGAAAACGACGGGTTGTCACGTGCGCAAGCGAAACGTCGCGAAGCGACCGCGTAACGCGGAAAAAACGCCGTTACGTAACGTAACCACGTTTAATGGTTACCGATATTTTTATACTGTACCTATTAAAACATCTTTCTCTTTGTTTTCTATTTCACTTATGGGACAAGGATAATACCGCAACCTCGGAATATCCTCACAGTTTTTATAGCAAGGCACGATTTCTGTCGTAGCGGTCATCGTCAACTCGTAATCGTTTTTCAATATGTTGAACTGTTTGTTTGCTGCTTTCAGTGTGCACCGCGAGATATAATATACATTTCTAGGCTGTCGAACGAAAAACACTTGATAAGTTACACGGCCTTTCAAAAAACAAAGTTTCATACACCCCACCATGCGTTCAGTCCGCAAACACAAACCTTTATCAGGTCGTAGAACTTGTCGCATTGTTCTCTGAAGGCGGTACATCGAATTTCAGCACTTTCATCGATCAAATCCATGGAAAAAAGTTTACCTTTTCCACGGGAATTATTCCATGTTCTGATTGAAGACTTCGTAGTCACGCGAGCTTTAATCGTCCATCTAAAAACACCGTCCGCCGTGTCTCTTTATTTTCACGATTGTATATTTTCAAACGATATTTTATACAACGGAGACGTCTCTTACTTGTTTTGATAAGGCGTTAAGGCAGCGATCGGCATAGTGGATATGTGAGAAGAGTCCGACGACGTTGAAAAACTCCTTTCAGTTGCACCATCTTGTAATAAAACAACGTTTTAAAACGTCCGTTAAAAGACCGTTACAAACACAAGTTACATGCGACGTTACTCTACACGTCGCGGAAGCAAGCCAACACGCAACTCACTTGTTGGAAAAGGAGAACTTGCAGCTGTACATGTAGCTGCGGCGTCAGTCGCTGCGTTAAACGCTATCGTAGTTGTTGGAAAAGAAGAACTTGCAGCTGTGGATGTAGTAGCAGCGTCAGTCGCTGCGTTAAACATTATCGTAGTTGGCGTGCCTATCCTGTGCCCAACTTCACTGCCAGAAACCAACACCTCGATATTTAGTATCAGTATCACTTTCCTGCGAGAAAAAAATGTTACTTGAAATTTGACGTGTTCACTTTCGTTACGACAAAAAAAAAGATGTAACAACGACCGACCTTTTTTCATCACTGTTGTTCATTGAACACACGCGATACTTTAATATTCTGCTCGAGATTGTCGTCTCAGTCAAACGTTCATCCGTGATAAACGTATTTAATTGAGTTGCCAACATAGCGTAGGGGGTTGCGCTCTGTCCATCGGACACTACCAGTTTGTAGCGATCAAGAACAACATCATTTTTCAGAGCGGGTTTTACGATCTTTTGGATACTCTGTAAACCACATACACGCGTCATAGACAAGGCCGTACTAACACGTACACGCGAAACTCGTTAAAAAGTTATAAACGCTTGCTTGCAACGTCTATACTCACCAATATTTGGAGCACCGGTTTCTCAACGTCCACGCCCCGCATGATTCTCTGCGAAAAATAAACGCGTAAATTTTACATACGCGAACGACCAAACACGCGACGACTTTCACTTGCCGTACCTCCAAGGCTTCTTCCGTTAATTCATACATGACTGTGCGTTCGTCGCAGCGTAGTGAGAAAAACCCTACTGCGTGCTTCGCCACCAAAAAAAGCGTAACCGACGTTTTGTTCCCCGGAAAAAATCTCCCGGAAATCAGTTCCCGGAAAAAATCTCTCCGGAAAAAATCTCCCCATCAAAAAATTTCCCCCGAAAAATATCTCCCCCGGAAAAAATCTCCCCCGGAAAATATTTCCCCCGAAAAAAATTTCCGTGCCCAGCAAAAACCGAGGTGCCACATGGGTTTACAACTTTCCACGTGTGAAAAGCCCACGCACGTACTTTGCAAGGCACACTATGTGTATAGTTTAATGATAGTGGAGCCCCCCGCAGGGGGGCGGAACCTACTGCCTCCACGCATACACTTTTCGCGCGAGGCGAGGTGCCACATGAGTTTATAACTTTCTACGTGTGAAAATCCCACGCATATACTTTGCAAGACAACTTTTCTCAAGAAGTTTAACGCAACCAGCAAAGCGCAAATAAATTAAAAAAGTTGTCGTAACTAAAAACAGAGACAATAAATACATAACTCATGATAATTTAATACAACGAAAGATTGACAGCAACATTCCTCAGGATTTTCAACGCATCCAACAAAGCGCAATTAACGTAATACAATCGGCGTAACTAACAACAAAGATAAATAACACATAATTCATAACACATTTTTATAACGATAGATTGGCAGCGACATTCTTCAAATATTGTAACACATCCTGTCGGTTGTAGGCTGCAACGAGA